GCTGTCACGACGAATTCTGCTTTAATGGAAATTAATTAAGCGTGCCCATGTTATTAGACGGGAAGGAGCGTTGTGCGCCGAGTAGCGAAAGCAGCTTCGTCGGCTGTCGAATTATTTACGGAGTACGATGGTATGACGTCACTATTATCGGGCACGGCCATTCGACATACACATTACCTTTGAGAAATACTATTGCGTCGTATTTGCGGCTCAATTCTATTTGTCACCGCACCTTCGTTGCTGCTTTCGATAGTCATTTCATTAATCCCCGTATCCAGTAATAGCGAGACATTCTCAATTGCGATCTCCTAAAGAATAATTATTGAACAAACGTATCGTGTGTCATGTAAATATGCTCTTCACTTCCAATCCCATGTGCATTTACATTTAACGATCAAACGATGGGAGATTATTTTTACCTAATAAAATGGATTTTGATGTGAAAGTATTGATGAAATCGAGTTCTTACGAGCAAAGTTAGTTCGTCGCGAAAATAAAAATGAATTTCCTGAGAAAATGATGGTGAAATTTTTAAACGTCTCTGTGTACGCTTCGGTATGTGATATAAAAAGGGCTTAGTCTGACATAACGATAAAAATAATAATTGTCCCGTTATGGTTTCAATTTAACTTATTAAGAGAATTTTTACGATACTCGTCTAAGCCTCAAAATTTTTTTATCATTTCTACGAACGTATTTGCGAGAAAATTGTCTCTACGAGATTGAGACTTTTGGAGAAAATTTTCCCCCTATGCCTACCAATAGATCCTAAGAACGCCTAAAGAAACTGTAATCTCCTTGGGACTTGATGCGCTCGACATTATGAAAACGACATTAGAAGCGAGACGAAAAAATTCCCAATTGGACGTGATATTTTCAACTGTTTATATTTATCGACGCTGATTAATAACCGTATATGCTTGACAAAAAACAATAGTAAGTTAACAAGAAGTCTCACGATGATTACGACTAAACGCGATCGTGCAATAAAATTCCCTAATACCATAGACCTTTGAAATTCGAAAGGGCAGCATAATAACATCGGGACGTGCCAAACGGCAGTATTTCTGGTTTTTTTTTTCTTTGCTCGCGTAACACAACGTCAATGAAAGGTATGACTCGGCCGACGTGACCCGCCTAACCAGCGGCTAATTCGTCACCCTCTAAACCCCCAGCCCCGGCTCACTTCACCGTCAAACACGAGAACCGCACTGCTCGTTTGGGCTCGAACGCTTCGCTACGCTGCGAGGCTAAGGGCGACCATCCCCTGAAAATCGTCTGGCGCAAGGCGGGATCGCAGCTCGAGCCCGCTGTCTCCGATTATCGCTACATGGTCAAGGATGTGAACACGACCGAGGGAGCGGCGAGTGTCCTGGGCCTCGTCGGCACTACGAGGGACGACAGCGGCCGGTACTACTGCATCGCCAGCAACGCCTACGGTCGCGACGAGATGACCATACATCTGTATATTCAGGGTAAGCTTCGTGGGAGGGGGCGACCGATCGATGACAGACCTCGACAACTTGACTATCGCGCCACCGACTATCTCTCACCGGCGAATAATAAGTGGCTTATTGGGGATATAATTTTCGCGGCTGACTGGACTGCTACCGGGACCGGGAACTTTAGAATTCGGACATTAATGTTACTCGGACGGATAGTAGCTGTCTATTGTGTTTGAACAAATGATAAAGCACGACGTTCACTCTATCATTTGTCTTCGATAAGATAAATTGTAGCTCATGGCAAATAGTCGTTTTAAGCATTGCTATAAGA